CCCGGCTCCCTCCCCCGCCCCCCCGCCGACTCCGGCCCTCCGCGCTCCTTTCGGGGTGTAAAAATTTACCTTTACCGCGACACACATGGCTTTCAGCGTCTCTCTCTCTCGCAACACTGTACGCTACAGGAAACGGCCGGAGCCAGAGCAGGAACTAACTTTCCTAAGCGACGCAGGGCCTCGCCGCAGCCTTCCCTATACCTCCTCCCCTCCCCCTCTATGCCCCGCCCCGTCCGGGGCTACGCAAGAGACGTCGGGCTGCGATTGGCCCAGCCCGCATGGGCGCTGACGGCTACCGGAACCCAATTGGCTGGAAGACGCTGTCGATCACGGTGTTATCTTGTGGAGGGGGGGGAGGAGGAGGGAGTGCGACAAGGCAGCGAGGGGGTAGTTCGGTTGAGAGCGCAGCGGGAGAGTGCGGCCTGGTGCGTTTCTAGGCAGGTTTGGAGCCTGAGATCCCTTCGCTTGTGCGCGGCGTCACAGCTCCCCCACCTCTCTCTCTCCCTCATCCCTTCCGAAAATAAAAAAAAAACACAAAACCTGTCACACCACGACCCGCCAGGCCGGAGAAACAGTCAGGCGAGGACCGAGACTGCGTGAGAGCAACTATCGCGTTTTAGGACCGGGAAAAAAAAACAACCCCACTATTAAACTGAGATCCATATTGTTTGTTTGGGGTTAAAAGCCAGGTGATGGAGTTTATTTCACGCAACGGAAGATCGCTGATGCGTATCTGGGGCCATTTGGCATTGAGTTCTGTGTTACAGTATCGTGCAGATCAATTGTTCCAAGTCAGGAAAACATAAAAAAAACTGTGGAAACACACTTGTATAAGAAAACGTTAAAAGCAATGGCAGGAACAAAGCACGCTTTCACGATACGATGTCAAACTAAGGCTGAACTGTATGAAAAGGAGAACAAGACTGAGGCAGCTGCCTCTGCAGACCAGATCATTTGGTAGCTGGTAGATTGTTAACCCTGGTAAAGTACAGCATTACAAAGACTA